ATTGCTGGAAAATCCAACAAAAATCTAGTGGCACCATAAAAACTAGTAGCATTTATTTCAATATGAACTCTTGTGGGTCATAGCCCATTTCATCAGATAGATGCATGGTGGAAAATCATACTAAGGATTTTTATGGGGTAGGTGAAGGGGGAGAATCTCATAATAGCCCTTCTTAGTTCCAAATGGCTGTTGCTTTCTAGAGCTCTCCGTATTTCTGTAGAATTCTCTTTCCTTATGTGCAGTGTTCTCTTGCTGCTGCCCTGATGTCTCATACCCCTTTCCTGGGAAAAGGCTGGTGTTCCTTAGCTTCTACCTTCTGCAAGACTGGAACCATTGTGAAGAGGAGTTCTTAGGCATTGTTAGCTATATTAAATAACTGCTACCATTCTTGCTATGGGTTACAAAAGTATTGCAAATAGTATAGCTGTTTTAGGTCGTTAGTTCATGGAATGAAGTTATTGGATCCAGGAATGTTGACATGTTGTTGCAGGAGCATGCTTGTGAAATCTTTTGTTTTCTCTGTTTTAGCAATTGCATTGTGTAGTCGTGGGAAGTGAAAATGCAAAGCGATATTTTGAGGCAGTGCAAGGATCAAAAGACCATCAAGGAGAACTTTTTGGTATAAATAACCTTTTCAGGCTTCAGGACCATGGATCATGTCTTACAAAAGAAATTCTGGAGGTATAAGTTTACCTTTGACCTCTTGAATATTATCTTTGTGTGTGTGTAGTGTTGCTATATGTTACCACATATGAGAACCAGTCTTCCCTCTAAGCTGAGTTAGTGTGAGCCTCTGGCTCACAGATATTTGTCTTAGCTCAGGAAGGATGGCTCCAGAGCAAACTAATTTATGCAGTAGCCAAATCGCTCACTCACAACTTTAATGCCAGTAGCTCACAAAGTAGAATTCTTGCTCACAAGACTCCACAGCTTAGAGGGCGCATTGATGAGAACCTCTTCAACTACAGTGAGATATGGGACAGCAGCTGATTGCCTGTGGTGGCAGTGTTGCCTCAATTTTCTGCAATCCGTCACACCCCCAGTAGCAGTGACCAAGCAGTTTGGGTTTTGATGTGTTTGCAAAAGGTCAAGTTAGGCTAAATATAAAAATAATAATGCTGGATAAGTGCTGCAGTTACAGATGGGACGTGCGTCTAGTAATGGTGCTGGTACCACACTTATCTGAGGAAATGTGTAATCCTTTCCCCTCCCTTTTCCTGGAGCGATTATTTCAACAACACAAGAATAAATTGATTTTCTTTTCTTTAAAAGAATTTATAAAGAAAGCTTGGGGGGCAAGTAAAGTACCAATGTAGTAACTATTTAGAGCGAAAGGGAGCCAAAGCTCTGCTTTAGAAGGGGGACAGTATCACACACTCAGGGTTGGCAGAGTAATTCTGTTGGACAGAGAGAGATGGATATATTTTACTTGTAATGGAAACCCATTTTTGGAAACCCAAGAATATCAGACTATTGAAATAGTGTTACCTGGTCTTGGGATTTTTCCTTCTGTGCCCTCACTAGTCGTTAACATGCTGTTTCCCTGAGGTAATCTAACCTGCCGATCACAGGATACCTAAACCAGCCCTGCCTCTCTGTAGGTGCTTTAGCCCTATCTACCTAGCTGTATCAAAGTCTGAGCCATATCTATCTGACTGTATTGATATATGAGGAATTTGTTCCACTTTTGTCTATTTTTCCACGCACTTTCCCCCTCCCTTCTCTCTTTGACAAATCCACAGCCTTCTGTTGGCTGGAAATGAATTGGCTGTGACACATGGTGGTTGGAGCTAGAAGCTGTCTGTCACACACTACCACATGTAGCTGTTGTTGTTTGTTTTTAGCACTTAATTACTGTTTGTGTATTCTGGGTTCCCAAGCTTGTTCACCCTGTGGGCAGGCACTTCTGGAATTTTAGGAAAGAATTGTAGATACCCTCACAAAATGTTATAATATGTTCAAATATTCCAAGCCAAGCATTCTCCTTTGATGGAACCAGCTGCTTCCAAATGGGTGCTTCCTGCAGATGCAAAAATGATGCCTGGATGCATCTGAAGTACCTCTTGCTCCAAGTAGGAAGAGGAAAATCAGGGGCAGCTGTTTGCTTCATGGAAGAGATTCTATTTAGTTTACATTTTCAAAAAGAGAGGAGGGAGAAGTTACCAAAGATATAAGGGAGCCTTTGTCTTTGTATGACTTTTATGTACTTAAGCTCAGTGTTTTACTAGCCAGTCAGCTGAGAAGGAGTGACCTGAAGCTACCTGTTCCATTTGAGACCTTTTGGATTTTTAAACAGAGACTCAAGAAGCAAGAATTGGCCCACACTATGCCATTCAGAAGCACCATGTTGGGGATTGCTGGTCCAGACCAATAAATTTATGTGATGTAGATGTGAATCATAAGTAAACTGCTTTGCTGTTTTATAGAGGGAGGGCCAAGTGGAAGCTGGTGTCATGACAGCAACTATGTGGCTAAAAGAGGAACCCCAGCAGCACAAGCAAATGGTATATTTTCAAGTTGTCTTTTAAAATTTTGCATATTATGAAGCATTGCAGATTAAAGTTTATGTAAGTGTGTTTACAAACTTTACTAACAAGAGAAAAACAAGAGAAGAAAGGATATGGAATGAACAGAATGGTGTTGGCAGAAGGATAAACTGATTTTAGGATTTGCCATTGTAGCAGTCGCCTATTAGCTTTCTTCTATAACATCTCTCCATTAACCCTAAATAAACATTTCTATTGGACATTTCTTTTGGAAGCAATTACTGTATCCAAGCCAAACTTTCTTCTGTTATGGAGGTATTTCAGAATGGGTACTCCCTGCAGACCTAGAAGTAATGCTTCCTGCATCTTTCAAAGCACCTCCTGCTTGAATGAGGTGGATTCGATCTCTCTCTCTCTCTCTCTCTCTCTCTCTCTCTCTCTCTCTCTCTCTCTCGTGCTCAGGGTGAGTGACAACGTTTAAAATCAACATAACAACTAAATAACTTGGATTAAAATCAGCAATCCCAACAGTAACAGTATTCATTACTCACTAGATCACACAGTAAAGGGCAGTTCAGGAGATGGTCCAAGGTGGGAAGCCATCACTCATCCTTGGCTATGTGCCTGGTGGAACAGCTCTGTCTTACAGGCCCTGCAAAATTGTCATTGGATAGAGTGTTCCACCAGGTTAGGGCCAGGACCAAAAAGGCCACAGCCCTTGGTTTGGATAGCTGGATGGCCTTTGGGCTGGGGATTGTCAGCAAGTTGTTATCAGCTGAACTTTGAGGACATACTAGGAGAGGCGGTCCCTCAGATATGTTGGTCCTAGTTCGTTTAGGGCTTTGAAGGTCAGTACCATAACCTTGAACCTGATCTGTAATTCAACTGGGAGCCAGTGTAGCTGGTGAAGCACAGGTTGAATATCTGCTGTTATTGGTGTAATTATGAGAAGTGCTTTGGAGAAGAGGTGTTTTGGGAAAGAAGCAAGTGGGTGCCTGGGAAAACGTTGGTACCATGGTACCCATGGGTACCAAATTGTGGCTCACTGTTGTAAAGCCTCTGCTTGACCACAGGAGAACAATTTAGATTTAGGTTTTATTGCTCTTCTTTCCTAATACTCATGTGTTCTGAAGCATTCCTGTGAGCGCAGTACAAAGTTCCTTGATTGGCAAGGGATAACGTATAGATTGTAGGTGCTTAGGTAGAATTAGCACATTAAAATATAGCTGAAATGATATCAAATGGTAATTGGAGAGACAGTAACAAAGTCTTTAATAGTGTACATTAAATTAATATTTCAACAATTTTTAGAAAAAGATTAAGCGAATATTTTAGAGCAGAAGTTGTTCTACATATAATTTTTAATGAAATTAATATATTGGGGAAATAGGCACATGTATAATTTTTGTTTGTTTTAAAAAATCTTTTATAAAACATTCTTTCTAAAAGGAACTCTACAGCTCACTTACTAATTATAAATACCTTTGTATCAGATGAAATGAAAGATTTCAAGTCCAATAAGTATTAAATAGAAATGACTTTTTAAGGTAATTCTTATATGTTTCCTTGCAGATAATTTGCTAGATATTTACTAGAACTAAGCCTCATTGAACTCAGTGGGAAATGCTAACTAATCAGTCTACAAGTGAAGGGTTTTTTGAGGGGGGATAGTGTAGCTTCAAAAGTAATTAAGCATGAGTCCTGGAAAACTGCTTGAAAATAACACATTGGAGGCTATTGTGATAAAACACAAGTTCCTTGTTGACAGTCAAACAACAGATAGCTATTTCATGGTTCCTATTTTTAATTAAATGCTGTTCCATATGGCCCCACTTTTCATGTCTGCTTATCATATTTAATTTTATTAAAGTTACGATTTGGCATTTTAACACTGAAAATTGGAATTGCTGTTTCAAAGACATGATTTAAATGGCTAGCTTGTTTCATATTGTCCTGTTTTATATGTCTTTAGTCTGCTGAACATGGTTGTGAAGATGAAGACACTGTTAGTCCCAAGGTGCAACTGGAAAAGGAGGAACTGGATTATAGCAGCAACTTCAGTGATGAAGAGGAGCCCATGGGAAATTCTAAAGCAAAAGCCAATCAAAGCAGACCTTGCAGTGCAAAAAAGGCCAGAATTTCACAGGGACAGTTTACTTTATTACAGTGTGGGTTTTCTAAACTTTTGGAAAAGGGAATGAAAGGAAATGAGGATGGCAGTAGCATTGGTGCCTCAGAAGATGAAAATGATGATCATAAGTCAGTGAGGCAAAGAACCAAAAGAGGCTCCAAAAATTATGATCTGAAACCACAGGACCACTGCAATATTTCTGGACATGAGAAAATGTCCGCATCCCCAAACAGAAGTGCAAAACAAGAGATGTTTACTGAAACAGGAGATCACATTTATCAAGTTAGACCAGATTCTGAGGGGGGAAAGGGCATTGGTAGTAAATACAAAGACAAAAATTTTTCAAATCATGTTGGGATAGTTATGGAGACTGAAGACAGTAGTTCAACTGAAAGTGAAGATGTTATCTTTTCTTCCCAGGCTCCTTGTAATGAGCAAACTGCATTAAGCTATGAAGGTGTAAAGACAGATACAGAAAAAAGTCCACTGCTTACAACTTGGCAAAAACGTTTCACTTCTGAAAAGAATCATAGAAAACTGTCCCTTTTCAGTAAAATAAAATCATTAAAAAACATCCAAAAGAAGACATCTGTGAAAGAAACAAGTGACATTAGTGATGAGTCTGAAGATATTGAAATGTCACTACTGCCCATATCAGGAATGCAGAAAACTACCAGCACTGTGAAACACAAGCACTTCCATGCGAAGGAGCTTGATAACTCTTCCAGAACTGTTTTTCAGGGAAACAATGCAAGCATGGGAGGAAATAATGCTGACTCTCAAAATATTGAGGAATTTTCATCATCAGAAGACAATGTAGCAATTAGGAAGGTTGATGTTAATAATCAAAGGGTAAAAAGTAATAGGTGTAGCCTTCACTTCGAATCCAGATTAGCAAGATATGGTAACCATACCTCTGTTACACTGCGAAAACGAACTAATTCCAATCTATCTCAGACCTCTTTCAGCAAGCAAACATTTACAAGACAAGGAGAAAAACGGGGATCGTTGGATAGCCTTCTTGGTAATTACAAATACAGTACCAGAGAATAGTAGTCAAATACTACTATTGTTGGTCTTTTTTACTCTTGACATAGAACACATTTAATTCAAAGGTGCCCTTAAACAAGCAGAAGGAAGTTCTCTTCCTAAATGGGGTGGAATGGTCTGCCATTTCCAACTATTTCACTTTGAGCTGCACTCTGGCTGTAGAAGACAGAGGTGGGAAGGATCTCTTTTGTGAGTGGAGCTCCACAGTCTGCTGTCTGGATCATGAAGCCAAATTTTGGCATTTCAGATTCTCTGAGGTCCTTCGTTTATTGCCTGAGGACAGATTCAAACATGCATGTTCATCACTTAAAAGTTCCATGTGTGAAACAAAGACAGTGCTTTCATAGCATCTGACATCATCATATTGCTTTCCAGTGGAAGTAGTTTCCATGGTAATCTGTAAATTAGTTACTACAACAGCCTAAAGATCAGGTGGTTGGTGGTACATAAATCTGCATGTTGTCAATGAATAAGTCATCAAGTGATGTGCATGTACAGGTGAATCTGATCTTTGGTCTTCCAAAGAAATTTCTTTGTCTTTGCAGTTTAAAAGTTGGAACCACTTATGCCAGTGGTTCTTAAAAATATCCTAATATATTTTCCTTTCAGAGAGTGAGGAGAAGAATGTGGGTAGTTATTTTTCTGGCATGCATTCTCACTTTAGTTCTACCAACAGGCAGGCGAAAAGGAAATAGAGGGAGCTGAACCATTTGAGTACAAAATGCTCTTTAAGATCCACAGGAGGATAATACATTAAGGCAGAAATCCTCAGAAAATGGGGGAGTATCCCGTTTGACCTCCAACACTCTGCATGTAACAATGCATGAGAAGGGCCGTATCTTCTACTTCACCTTCTGTGTTCTCACCTAGGACCAATAGAGGAAGAAGCTCACAGTCTCCCAATAATTGTTTGTATCTTATTTCAGTACCTTAAATGTCTCCTAGAGAAATAGTATATTTGTGTCAGAAAATAAGATCTGTCATAATGTCTGACATAAAGAGAAGATGTTTCTTCTGCACTATGTATGCAGATTGGGCACATGCTTTGAGGAGCCTGACCAGTGAAGCTGCCTTATACTGAGTCAGATGCATTTGTCTGTCTGCTCTGATGATCAGCGGCTCTCCAGAGTTCCAGGGTCTTTCATCTCACCTACCACCTGATCTTTTTAGATGGAGACACTAGGGACTGAACCTGGTCCTTTTATGTGGAAAGCAGATGGTCTGCCTCTGTACAACAGCCATTCCCTCTAGCACTGTGGTTCTGTTACTGTGTTCCAGGTTGACTGTACTGATTCCTCAGTGTACAATAAAATGATTGTAGCTAGTAGGAGGACAGTAAAGTGTGGAATAACCAAGAACGTTTTGAAAGTGATTCTAAGAATGCTAATTAACCAGGCACTTTCTGTATTGTGTACACTTACAGCCATGCAGATTTAGAAAGGATTTCTTTGTAGACAAAAACTTGGTGGTGTTCACAAAGAAGGGAGTATTAGGCATTGTAGTCCTGGAATTCCCATTATTTTGTCAAATAATTTTGAAGAGCCATTTTTAAAACAAAAACAAACAGTGTGTCAGACAAAGACCTGACTGTCTATATCAACTATTTAAGCTTTCTTTGAAATCGTCATTAGAGCTTTACACTCTCATTCTATATGTGGAAATTTTGAGAGAGCTTTACTGCCTGCCTGTACTACACTCTAAGCTAAATTTTATTCCAGTTGAATCTTTCCCCCTTTTTATTGGTCTTGCTAATTTCACTGTTGCTGTTCATTTGTCCATTTAGATTCAGGCAGCAGAAACCAGTTCCAGTCCAGCTGTGACCTGTACTGGGGTGGTATGGAGGCTATAACTTTAAAATTTCAGTTTTATACACTGATGGGGTCTGAACTGGTGGTGACTGACCAAGAAAAAGATCTTGGGGTTGTAGTTAATAGCTCGCTCAAAACATTGACTCAGTGATTCCCCACTCCTCCACTTGCCAGTTTGGTGTAGTGGTTAAGTGTGCAGACTCTAATCTGGGAGAACCGGGTTTGATTCCCCACTCCTCCACTTGCGCCTGGCTGGATGGCCTTGGGCAAGCCATAGTTCTGGTAAAGAGCTGTTCTTGAAAAAGAGCAGTTTCTGTCAAGAGCTCTCTCAGCCCCACCTACCTCACAGGGTGTCTGTTGTGGGGAGGGGAAGGGAAAGGAGTTTGTAAGCCGCTCTGAGACACCTTTGTGTAGTGAAGGGCGGGGTATAAATCCAATCTCTTCTTCTTCTTGCAGCTGCTGGACGACCTTTGGCAAGCCATAGTTCTGATAAAGAGCTGTCCTTGAAAGAGCAGTTCTTGAAAGAGCTCTCTCAGCCCCACCTACCTCACAGGGTGTCTGTTGTGGGGAGGGGAAGGGAAAGGAGTTTGTAAGCCGCTCTGAGACACCTTTGTGTAGTGGAGGGCGGGGTATAAATCCAATCTCTTCTTCCTCCTCCTCTTCTTCATCATCATAAAAGGGGGGGAGATGGAAGCCCTGGGCAAAGAGAAATGTTTTGGGCTGGCCTGGCACCTAGCTCTGAGACTTCAAGTGAAGGACGGGGTATAAATCCAATCTCTTCTTCTTCACCTGTTTGTTGAGATTCTGGGGAGCAGTCAGCAAGCAGGAGTTGTTGTCAGCAAGTCCTGCTTGCATGGGCTCCCCTGTGGCATCTGACTGGCTACTGTTAGAAATAGGATGCTGGACTAGATGTACCAGTGGTCTGACCTAGCATGGCTACTCTTAAGTTGAAATGGGCCTTACAATTAATAATACCAGCATTTTGAAACAAAGTTTTATTTTTATAGCTTGAGAAACAGCATTTTAAGCATGCAATATATTATCCATTCCTGCTTCAATACAGTGTTGATTTTGTATGAGACTCTAACTTTTATTGCATATTTTTCAATATGTATATGAAACATCTAAACTCTGTCCTTTTCAATCACTAGGTGATGTTGCTGAAGTCTCATATGTTCATTCAAACCAAAATGTGGTTGGTTCAAGCAAGGCTGAAAATCAGATGAGTCGTTGGGCAGTACGAGATGTGTTCGAACTGCAGCAGTTTTCTCAACTCCCTGCAAATGTAGCAGTGTACAGTCCCAAGGTAAAGAGAAGGGTTTGAAAAAAATGTGTTTTTTTTTTAATAACCTCAGTATTTTACTCTCCTTTCCACTTTGGCTATTGTGAATAGCACTTGGAACAGGTGCTTCAAGGAGACGGCTAAAAAAGCTAGTGTTGCTATTTCTGTACCAAGAGAACTAAGAAATGGACAGACATTACCTTTTGAAGAAGAAAGTTATTTATTATGAAAATGAAAATAAAATCTTAAAAAAGAAAAAGAAAGTTATTTTCACTAGCAAATGTGGTTTTGTTTTACACAAGCCAGAGATGACTGTGTGCACTGATATATATTGGCTATTTTAAAAGCAGGCATATTAAAATATGCATAAGTTTCTACGTCATGACAGGTTTTTTTGTTAGATAATACATAGAAGCAGGGCTATTTTTGGGTGGGAACGCCCTGGAACAGCGTTCTGGCTGGCTTCTAAGCCCGCCCCGCCCCTCTCATCCCCGCCCCTCCCTCTTCCTCCCTCCGATGACCCTCGTGGGCAGGTGCTGGAGTGAGGGAGCAGGAGACCTCCCCCCCCCGTCCGCCAGCGCCGCTTCTCCATGCTGGTGGACGCTGCGCCCTAGCGAGGAGTCTACGGAGGGGGCGTGCTTGGTGGAGGCAGGGGGCTCCTTGAGGCTGGGAAAAAGCACCGCACCATGCGCTCTCACCCACCGGCTGGCTGGGGTCCGAGCGCCCTCAGTCCATCCCGTAGCTCGCGTGGGGGAAGTGGCATCACCTGGGCTTCCTCCTGGGAGCTACTCACTCCCGCAGCAACAAGCTGTCGCAGAGTTGAAAGAGCCATGGATTCAGCCTTTCAGGCACCCGCCCGCCCACTCCGCAGAGCCGCTCCAACTTTCCGCCGGTGAACAGGTGCTCCGGCAACTTGGGCAGCCGCTCTGCAGCCAGCCAGTTGAGCCCCGGCCATTTCCAGGGGCACCTAGAAGCAGCTTGGCAAAGGCAGCAGCTGTCAAAGGGAGGCACTTTTCTTACCCTCACTTTTTTTTTAAGCATGTCACCCGCCTGACTCACTTTCTTCCACGGTCCTCCCTGTGTACCTGGTGCTGGGGAAACAAGGAAGCAGGTGTAGGTAAGCTCTTGAGAGGACCCCCCCCCTCCACCCTTTCTTCTCCTTCCTAATTGTGATTGGTTCCTATAGAATGGCAGCTTGGCAAGGATTGGCCCAGGACTGGGACAAGGAGCAGCACGGTATAATTCAGTCGGCAAGGAGAGATGCAGGCAGTGGGGTACAGCTTTTTGGTCTCCGCCAGTTTAGTTTGGATGCTGGCCATGCAGTGCAACTTGGCTCTCTTTTTTTCCCCGGGCTGATTTCCGTGTAACTCTGTCATGGGTTCTTTCCACCTCTGCCAGTCTTGCTGCCCATGTGACTATTCTGTTGGCAGAAAGAAGGAGTAGTAGAATTTATTACGGTCGTTAGACCAGCCAGATATATATATTTATAATAGTAATTTTTAGAAACATACAGAGTACAAAATATACAAAATAAGAGATTTAAATTTAAAACCTATTTAAAATATAGCTTCCGTAACCTCTGTATCAATGCACAAAATCTAGCTACTTGATAAGTGATCTTAGAGTTCTTATCAGATAAAAGACAGTCAAGCTTGGCTTTGTTTGTGCAACCAGGAATCTTATCCAGCAATGGAGTAATAATCTCCAAACGAGCCTCTTTATAATATGGGTAACTAAAGAACATATGCTCGATGGACTTGACCTCCCTTAATGGGCAAGTACATAATCTTTCAAGGTAGGGGATTTTCTTATACCTGCCTTCAAGCACTGCAGAGGGGAGTGCAGAACTCCTCGCCAAGGTGAACTCCCTTCTAAAACTGTTTATTTTCAAAGAACAGAAAGAAGGAGAGAGTGCCAGGCAGAGCAGCTCTCCAAGGCTATATAAATAGCCTGGCTTATTTTGCTATTTGTAAACGACAGATCTTTCTGTTGTTCAGTGTTTTAGTCTGATCCTTCTCACTTAACCTTGTGCTTTGGACTCTACCTGTTTGAAAACCGGCCAGGGTGGGGATTGCACATGGTTGTTATCTGGTGCTCTTTCACTGTATTCATTCCCCACAAATGGCAACTGTGTCTTCAGAGTTAGTGCGGCACACATGCTTAATCAACAACAACCCTGTGAAGTAGGATGGGTTAAGAGGTAGTGATCATAATAAAGCCATCCAGTGGGTTTCATAAGGGCTTTGAAACCATCTCGACTTGTTCTAAGACCACCACAGAACTTGATTTTTATTTATTAGAACATTTATACTGTGCCTTTCCTTGTGGTTCAAGATGGTTATATTAAAACACTATAAAGTATTTATAAATTTGATAAATTAGTTGTGATGTAATAAATGCTAATATTCCAAACAACTCCATTTATTTGACATGGTTTCCCATGTCCGTACTTAATTAAGGAGAAACGTGGCTGAAATTATTCATATTGTGGTAGATCATAGGCATGGGAGAATTGATGCACTGTGGCATAAACTTTGTGGACTAGAGCATCTGGAGAAATGGGCTATAGCTTATGGGAGCTTACGCCAAAATCAAAATTAATGCTCTTAAGTTATCAGGTGTACCTACTCAGCAGAGTTGAGGATTCTTATTTCAAGAAGCTTATTGAGAACAAAGTTTTGGCTATAATGATTTCAGAAAGCTACCAGTAGGTGTGAGGGAGGACACTTTTGCTTCAACACATCATTGCCAAAAAATACCTGATCTGCTTACTTATTTTGGTGGATGGCAGTGAAAGAAATGGAGTTTTAAAAAAGACTGAACCAGTGAATCTGTTCTATTCCCTACCTAAGTAAGACGGCAGCCCCGTCCCACACTATGTGGCCTTAGTTAGGGAAGCAACATTAGAAACCGCTATGTAAACCGCCCAGAGACCCTTCGGTGTCAGGGCGGTATATAAGTCGAATATATAAATAAATAAATAAATAAGCTTACAGATTTTACCCTAATACAATGTAAGACTAGTATTTTGCACTGCTGTAGCTACTTCCAAATTGTTAGTGAGCAAAACCTGGATATCTTATATGAACAGCATATCCATTTTCCAGCATCCTGATTTTACAACTGTTGTCACATCTGTTAAGCTTATCTTATAATTACTGAGGTTATGCCTACCTTACGTAAAAATCGCTGTGTTTAAGGAATGGCAGTGCCCTGCAGTTGCTTGACCTTCATTGCCACTTTAGGATTGCCAAATCACAATGCTACAATGAAGGTATAAACCAGGGCTTTTTTTCTGGGGGAACACACCACAGTGGAGTTCTGGAACATTTGACGAAATTCTTTTTAAAATGTTTAAAAGTTCATGAGTTTTCAGTATACAAATTGAAAACTTCATTTCTCTCTTGAGAGTTCCGGCACCTCTTAAAAAAACACACAAAAGCCCTGTAAACTCTCTTAAAAAAAAAAAAAAGCCCTGTAAACTACCTATCTTCTTCTTAAAAGCAATAGCGTCCCCTCAGGACCTAGACATGGATTTCTGCCAACTATCATGTCCTATCCTTTCCTCAGATCTCTACATTTCAGACTCTCTGTCCCTTTAGCACCCTAACTTTGGGGACCTTTGACAAGTTAGTTTTTAATATCTTTGTTAGTATTGAACTGCTGTGGTTTTCTTGAACTTGTTTTATTGTTTTAAAATGCTCTGTACGACACCCTGAGCCTGCCGTTGTGGGAAGGGCACGATACCAGTCAAATAAATAAATAAATAATACCTTATGTCTCTTCTACAACAAAAGCAGTACATGTCTCTGCAACAATTAATGTGCAAGTAGAAGAACCCGTGTAGGGGGTTCTTGTTTATTATCTCCCAAGTCTTGAGCCGTCAACTAAAAACATGTGTGCACATGGAGATTTAGCCTTAGTCCTTATGCACACAGCAGCAGCAGTGTTTCCCTATGGAAGCCCCGGTGTTGCTGCAGCTGCCAGTGAAGTTTAACTTCCACATGGCAGGCTGTCCCAGTCATGGTGGCCATTCCCCTCGCATGCTATGGGGTGTGTGTGTGGATTTTTACATTTTTTTAAAAAACTGTTGATAGACACGAAATGCCAATTGGTAAAACCCTAGTGGCCTATGCAGAGGGCGGCTGCTGTGGGGATGAGGTAGGGAAAATGGCTGCTGTGTGGGTGGGAAATTCATACTTCCCCAGCCATGTAGCTGTGGTCTTTCCCAAAATATTGGAATGAATTAGGTTTGGGAAAGACTGCAGAAAGTCAAAGAAAACCCAGTTTATGTATGTATGCAAGTACCACAATGCTGTGGGAAGTGGGAGAAACCCCTTCCCAACAGCATTTAAACCAGGGGCAAATCATCTGTATGGAAAGTGCACATGGAGATTTAGCCTTAGTCCTTATGCACACAGCAGCAGCAGTGTTTCCCTATGGAAGCCCCGGTGTTGCTGCAGCTGCCAGTGAAGTTTAACTTTCCCAGTCATGGTGGCCATTCCCCTCGCATGCTACGGGGTGTGTGTGTGGATTTTTACATTTTTTTAAAAAACTGTTGATAGACACGAAATGCCAATTGATAAAACCCTAGTGGCCTATGCAGAGGGCGGCTGCTGTGGGGATGAGGTAGGGAAAATGGCTGCTGTGTGGGTGGGAAATTCATACTTCCCCAGCCATGTAGCTGTGGTCTTTCCCAAAATATTGGAATGAATTAGGTTTGGGAAAGACTGCAGAAAGTCAAAGAAAACCCAGTTTATGTATGCAAGTACCACGATGCTGTGGGAGGTGGGAGAAACCCCTTCCCAACAGCATCTAAACCAGGGGCAAATCATCTGTATGGAAATAGCTTTTGGTAGTAGAAATTGGCTTCCATGAAACATACTGTTAAGTGAGTTTGAGTAAGACCATAGCCTTATATTCTGTTCCTAACTTACTCAGAAGTAAGTTCATTTAAATGGGATGAATTTCCAAACAAGTATGCATTGTATTATATCTAGTTTGGCTCTTTTTCAGTTGTTAAT